CCTCACTCTGCCCCTTTCTGGTCAAAAGTAATAAATAAATAAAGTTAAATAAAATAATAAAAAAAAAATACTAATTAGAGGACTAGCAGGTGGTGTGGCAGTTAAGGGGCTGAACTACCATATAGCTGACCACCGTTTCGAGTCCCAGATCTGGCAGCTTGCTTCCTCACTTTCCTTCTCTCTCCCTCTGGTCAAATTAAAAACAAAATAAGGGATGGGACAGCAGTTAGCGTAATGGTTATGTCATTGAACTTCCATGTAGTTGACTGTGGTTGGAGTCCTGGACCTGGTGGCTTAAACTCACACTGGGCGCACGTGTGTGTGTGTGTGTGTGTGTGTGCCAAAGATCCTGAGAGGAGAATGGAGGAGAAAGGATTACGGCGTGGTCATCCCCCTGGGGGGATTTCTCACTTCCTATCTCCCTCTGTCTGTCTGGCGAGTGCATGTGCCCTATAGCAAAAACCTCTCAAAAACAAAAACCAAAAAACAAAAACAAAAAAACTGATTAGAGAACTAGTATACAGAAACTTTCTGAAATGAATAAACTAGAGCTACAAATATCAACAACTATGTTATGTTCCCAAAACATAATATTAAGCAAAAAGGAAAGTTTAGGGGATAAAAGAAAATTATAACCTAATAAACCATTTGTATAAAATACAAAACTTTCTAAATCATACTACTGAGTTGTCCGAAAAGTCATGATGCATTTTTGCATAGAAAAACAAAAAAGTATGTCATGACTTTTCAGACAACTTGATATATATGATCCATGGACACATATGTAGCTAGCCAAATATATAATCATTCTAGGGAATAATCAACACCTAATTTATGAAAGCAGTCATCTCCAGAGAAAGAAACAGAATTAAGAACTTAGTTCTTTTAAAATGATTTCTTTTTGTTTAAAAAAAGGTCCAAAACAGAGGCCAACAGGTAGTATGGTTGTTAAGGTGGACTCCCACATGGTTGACCGTGGTTCGAGTCCTGGACCTGGTGGCTGGCTTTCCACTTTCCCTTTCTGTCTCTCCCTGGTCAAATTAAAAAATAATAAATGAAATGAAATAAGTATTTTCTTAAAACAAGGGCCAAAGCAACTCACACTACACTAAGAGTGAAAAAGAACATTTCAGTTAGGCAAACTCTCACTACCTACCTTTTCATACGTTCCTGTTCAGTGGTGTCCAAAGCTCTCAGGGTTCGGGCATACAGGACAACAATGTCATTGTGCTTGGCTTTCTTGTTACACTAAAGGCCCCAACAGGACACAGTTAGTGTGGTTCTCAGAATTCTACTGACTTAACATGTTGGGTTCTTACCTATGGTCCTTACCTGGGGACATTTTCGTGCTTGTCCTTTAAGCCATTTAGAAATACACCTATACCCAAAGAGATGCCCGCAGCGTAATGCAGAGAGCCGGTGGTCCCCAGCATTGGTCCACTGTTCCAAACATATTGTACAAGTGTCTGCTTCTTCTTCGTCTGCAGAAGCAACAGGGCTGGACTTCTGGGGAGACTATTAAGTGGAAAAGAGAATATATTCAAGTTGGAGAAAATGCAAAGTCAGTCATGAAAAGGATGTGCAATTCTATCAAACTAACGAAAACACATTAAAAACAATACAAACCTAATTAAAAAGGTTCAGAAAAACAGCAACACTCATGAGTCACTTGTCATTCTTTCTAGGATGCAATCTAGCAAAATGTAGTATAAACCATGAAAATACTACTACTCTTGCATTATGTGAAATCCTTGAATATTTTTTTCTTCATTTAAATGAAGAAAAGCAACTATCTAAACAAAGATACAAAAATATCCCCCAAGACAATAGCAACTACCAAGAAAACCAACAGAGAATAAGTGGAGACTTTAAAAGTTTATGGAAAAATGCATCAAAATAGTTAATTTTAGTGCCCACTCCAAAAACCCTTGAAATTTGTGCAAGGGTTCTGGTAATATACATTTTCCATAAACTTTCTGAAGATCTCTCAGAATAGGTTTGTTATACATTCAAAACTAGGCTAACAACTCAGTTATAAAATATTTAGCTCAGGAGAATCAGAGGAAAAAACAGGAAGACAAACTTACCACTCATAAAAACATTTGCAATGGTTAAGTATTCACTTATAGTCAAATACAAATTGAAGAGAACATTTTTCATCTATTATATTGGTATACACTGATGCTTAGTGACACAAAGTATGGTTGAAGGTGAGGGAGAAATGAACATATTTACATACTGTTGCTAAGAAAATAAAATGGCACAAATTTCTAGAGAGCAATTTGGTATTATCTAGCCAAACTGGAACACATATACCTTTCCTTTGACAAAACAATCTCTCTACTAAAAATATATACCCAACTGATATGGTCATGACAACTTCCTTTTTTTTGGAGAGGTTTTTGCTAGGTAGAGAGACAGAGAGACAGAAAGCGAGAAATCATCCCCCAGGGGGGAAGGCCACGCCACAATCCCTTCTCTTCCATTCTCCTCAGGATCTTGGGCACGCACGCACATGCACCCAGCGTGAGTTAAAGCCACTGGGTCTGGGATCCAACTGCAGTTGACTACATGGGAGTCCAGCGACACAGCCATTACGCCATCTGCTGGTCCCATGGTCATGAAAACTTCTTAAGACAACTGTAAAAGGATGTTTGGCATAGTATGATTTATATCAAGGAAAGAAAAGAGAGGAAACTACGGCACATACAACAAGGAAAGAGTTAACTAAAAATTTATTCATTTGATGGAATACTATGCAACTATTAATAAGAGCAAGATTCAACTTTATGTACTGATAATGGAAAACTCTCGCAGACTTAATAAGCTGAGAAAAGAGCTACACTCAGGACAAGATTTAATCCCTTTGGGATGGTATAAAAACAAAAGCAAACATATGTGCACGCACGAGCGCGCGCGCGTGCACACACACACACACACACACACACACACAGATTTACAGGCATATAAAACATTTTCAGAAGAAATAAAAACACAAAGACCAAATAGAAACATGCAGAAAATAGCTAAATATTCTGATATTGGCAGAATTCACAGTAGATGTAAGTTAACTAAAGGACAATAACATATAGGTGTTATTTCTACACATAAAAATGAGCATATATAAATCACATTCTGCTTGATAGTTTATGATACACATTCATATCTACCTTTTTTTTTTTTTTTGATAGAGATATTTTTGCTATAGGGTGCGTGTGCTTGCTGGAGACAGAGAGTCAGAAAGTGAGAAATCCCTCCCCCCCAGGAGGGAATGGCTATGCTGTAGTCCCTTCTCCTCCACTGTTCATTCAGAATCTTGGGCACACATGTACACATGTTCGGCCTGAGTTTCAAGTCTCCAGGTCCGAGACTGAAACTGCGGTTGACTATAAAGAAGTCCAGCAATGTAATCATTATGTCACTTGCTGGTCCAGTTCTTTTTAAAAACCTTTTTATTTATTTTGTTATTGTTATTATTATTCTTAAAATTTGAACAGAGAGAAAAAGGGAAAGTGAAAGGGCAAGTTGCCAGGCCCAGGACTCCAATTGCGGTCGTCCACGAAAGTCCAGTGCCTTAACCACCACACCACCTGCCAGCCCCCGTATCTACTTTTTCAATTTAATAGGTTTTGATCAAACATTCTCTCAATGGTAGTCCTTCCAATATAAAAGGAAGCAGTCACACAACAAGTAACTAGGCCAGGACCCACACCTGGAACTCTTGTCTACACAGCCAGCAAGTTGTCCACTTTGAACTGCAGCTTTCCTTTCAAGTGAAAATCTAAATCTCGCATTTAAAGGGATGTTTATATTACCTGCTTGGGGAGGGTCTTGTCTTCATCAATGCGCGTAACTTCTTGTTCTGCTGGGTTACCTCCTTGATTTCACAGGAAATGTAACATACGAAAGACATAAGTATGAGAAGCTAGTAGAAAACAGCCTGACTTACTACAACTTTCCATTTCTAACTGGTAGCA